TGCCTTGCCCCAGTAAGACAAGAAGAGAATGCTCTAGTATTCAGAATAAAGGGAGCTCAGATTTTGAAATGATAACTACAGAAAGCCTTACTCTAACTTACTGGAGAAATTTAAAATCAAGGGAATCTAAAATTTGATCCTGTGAGGATTTATAACCAGTTGAAAAAAAAAATCCTGAGAATAGGAAAAAGAAAGTCATCCTCCTGGACCATTCTTGTCTTTACCATTCACAAATATGTAGGGTATTAAGAATAGAAGGGACTGTCAGCGTCTTTGAGTCCATCTTCCTTCCTATGCAGATGAGGCTGCATATGCAGAAAGAATGGTTTGCCCACACTGTGACAAGTGATGGAGCTGGAAGGAGAACCTCATTCTCCTGAGCTTGTGTTCTATCCATTAGACCAAATAGTTTCTCATTTTGAACCCAGGACTGATTTTCTAATACATATGTCTAACCTGTTGTGTTTTCATGTGGGTATGGGAGGCAATCTGAAGGCAGCAACCAAATCCTGTACTTTTTGCAGACACTGTTTAGTTGGGAAGAAGAGTTGGAAGGGCTTTAAAAAGTTAATGCTTTTCTTGAGGATTATGCTGATGATTTGTCATTTGAAGCCTATGTAAGGAAAAAGAGACTATATGAGCAAGTTAAGCTGAAAAATGTTCAGTTTTAGAGTAGGTGGGGAGAGTTTTTACTTTGAGCAGATAGAGACATTTGGGGTTTCCTGTACTCTGAGTGGGGAATATTGGGATAAAGAAAATATGTTAAGAGCTGATAATAGAGATATTGCCATACAGATAGTATTTCCAGAGACGTTTTCAAGCAAATATATTTCTTTCTGTTTTGGCTCTTTCAAGGGAGATATTCAAGCATTTTTATGTTTCTTTTTATTGAGTTGCCCTGTGTTGGTCAATGTGGGATGACTAGTTGGAGTTGAAAGTGCAAAGGGATCTCCTCCCTTAATTCCTGAGTGCTCTATGGAGGAATAAGAGCCATCTGGATATCAGAAGAGGAAGCTCTTAATGAGCTCCTTTTTGTTTTGCTCCAAAGACTTTTGTATTGATTGTTAAATTCACTTTAACTTAGAAACTTGCCTTTGCTTTTATATGGCATAAAAGGAGGTGATTCCGGGGGTTCTGTGATGGACAGACTAGCAGCTGTTGCTCTGAATTTTGACTTGCTCGCCCTGGATCCCTACTGCCACAGCCCTGCAAGTGCCTGCTATGGGGAACTCTGACCCATCCTTTTTGTCCGTGGTACTTGATCTCGGCTGTTTCCAGGTGGTTTGGCCCTCCTCTGAGACAGACATCAATTGCAAAGATCAGAGTAGGCTGGCTTTTGAAGAGTTTTTTACATTCTGCTTTGCAGACCTGTTGAAATGTGCTATTCCTTTCATGTTGCCACTCCATCTGTTTCTTGAAAGGGCAAAGGGAGTGTCTTCATGTGATTGAGGGCTATTGATGTTGCCTTCAAATTCATTTCCAATTAATTTCTACATTTTTGTCATAGGTATTAGCCATTGCATTCCCTTGATCTTGACATTGTTCTAGCAAGGCTGCCAGTGAGCAACAAGAAGAACAATTTCTGTACACTCTCTAAAGCAAGAACAAAGGAAAAGTTCTCATTCATTATGGGGGTTATATTAAATGCCATTCTTAATTCTTTCCTTTGTATAAGGTCGGGTCTGGATAATAGCTTGTTACAGGATTGTATTCATTATCAAGTTGAGCTTCTAGTGACACCTCGTCAACAAGCACCCATAATACATTCATTTACTGCCTACTGCTTCTATATGCCAGACACTGTGGGATTTCAATAACACCATTGCTGATTCTTACAGCCTTACAAGGTATTCTCCTTGTATTATAGATGAAAAAACAAAACCTACAACTAAATTTTAGCCATATTTCCCTAAATTCCATAGCAGGCATATTATATGGGAGATGCCTTTGGCCTGCTGAGTCAGGGGAATATAAATGAGTGAAATCTGGCCTGCTCTCTATATCTGTTTTATTAGAAAATGGCCACACCCAGTTATTTATATATATTTTCTAGGGTTGCTTTTACACTACAGTGGCAGAGCTGAGTAGTTGCAGCAAAGACTAGATGGCCCACAAAGCAGAAAATGTTTACTATCTGGAACTTTATGGATGCTGTTGACCCCTGCACTATACTGTTCCTGAAGGTGGCCCTGTGGTTAGCAAATTAGATAGTTTTTCTGGTGGCATATTACAAGTCTAAAATCAGAGATTCCGTCTATCATCCATCTGTCTAACTCACTGTTTTTTCTTTTTATGTCATGTTGTCTTTTAAATATTTTTGTTACGATTTTGTAGAGGGTAGTGGCTTTTATCTCTGAGTCTAAATGCCAGTTGGTAATAGTTTGATTTATTTGTTTAGAGATTTCCTGTCAGCAGTCTTGTAATAGATTATTTGAGATTCTAAATGGTTTTATGAAGCATACATTTTTCAGCAGGCCTTTCTTTCTTGAGGGGAAAAAGCCAGTAGTGATTCTGTGGTGTTTAAGGAAGTTTTGTTGAGAGAAGCAGGATCCCTGTGTTTTTGCCTGATGTTAATGTACTATTACATAGACAAACTCTAGCCAAGGTGAGATTGAGGAAATACTAATATCAGTTTTATGCACCTTGGGTTAGTTGAAGGTGTGCCTGGAAGAAAGTCAGTTGTAAGGCAGCAGTTCCTAAATATCGTTGTACATAAGAAACACTTTGGGGTGCTTGTTTAAAGAAATGTAGATTTTCAGACCCCCAGCCCTAGCGATTCTGGATCAGTACATCTGATATAGATGGCTCTGAAGCTTATGAAAAAAAGACCCATGGGTTTGGGAGGTAGATTAATGGTTTAATGCAGTAATTCTAGGTAGTCCAAATAAGGATATTCATGATTTGTTTGTTAATCCTGGTTTCGTTTGCTTCAAACTGTGATATAACTATAAACTTTAAATGTTTAAGTACAACATAACAGAAAATAAAATAATGCCACTGTAAATGATTTTAACTACTTCTACTACCACTAATAACGCAATAACATTTTATGTTTATCCTTTATAGTTAGAGAGTTCCTCATTACACACATCTCATTTGATTTTTATGTCAACCCTTGAAGTAGATGTGGCAAGGGGTATAATTTTCATTTATCAATGAGAAAACTGAGATTTAGAAAACGTTTTTTTTTCCCAACATGGCACAGCTAATATGTACTACATCTAGAATTCCCATATAACACTTCTGAGTTTTAGTCCAGCATTATTTTCAATGTACCATATTATTCTTATGACACCTATTTTGATTTTTAAAGGAAAATATAATCAGTTTATGACTTACTGCCTTCCAATAGGAAGTATGAACCATTTATAGAAGTACTTTGTTAGTGTCCCACAGGTGACTTAATGTGGAGGGAACTGCAGGTATGCACAGATTGGTGAGTCAGATGTCTTTATAGAATGTTCCAGGCATGGAATAAGAAATCTCTCTCCTTTCTTTGACAGAAACTCTATAAAACAGGTCGGGAGATGCAGGAGAGAATCATGGACCTGCTAGTGGTGGTGGAGAATGAAGACGTAACTGTTGAGCTAATTCAGGTGAATGAGGATTTGAATAACGCCATCCTTGGATATGAGAGGTGAGCAGATCATGTACCCTCTTTGCCCCTTTTCCACTTCTGTTTTCACCACCAATTACTCAGCATTCTTATCAGAGTGCCTACAAAAGACCCCTCTTTCTAGATTCGCCTGTCTCAATAGGAAAGGTATTGGTATGTGGGGTGGGACGGTTTTCCCTTGTGTGGCTCCTACTCAGTAAATGCCAGAGGTCTTTCTCCTAGTTAAAGTGACATTTCAGCCCAGCACGGTGGCTCCCTCCTATAATCCCAGCACTTTTGGAGGCCGAGGTAGGAGGATCACTTGAGTCCAGGAATTCCAGACTACCCCTGGCAACATAGCAAGACCCTGTCTATACAAAAAATAAGAAAATTAGCTGGGTGTGATGGTTCTAGTGGGTGCTTGTAGTCCTAGCTACTAGAGAGGGTGAAGTGGGAGGATAGCTTGAGACTAGGAATTTGAGGCTGTGGTGAGCTATGATCGCACCACTGCACTCTAGCCTGGGTGATGGAGTGAAATCCCACCTCTAAAAGAAATAATAATAAAATGACATGTTAAGACACCCTTAGGGGCACTGTTTCTGTTGAGAATTACTGGGAATGTCTGCTTGCATAGTGACTGTATTTCTAATCAGCTGAAAAAGAATGAGACTAGTCTGACCTAAGTGAAACAGGTGAACAGGCCTGGATTCAAATCTAGCTGATGATTTTGGATAAGCTGTAGAACTTTTCTAAGATTTTTTTTCTTTCTTTCTTTTTATGTATTAAATTTTTTTATGTATTAAATTTTTTACATGTATTTTTATGTATTAAATACCTGTTTAGAGGGTTGGGCTTTTTTTGAAGATTAAATGAGATAATATATATGAAAACACCTAGCAAACTGCTAGCACACTGACGTCTACTAAATAGTACTTTCTTCTCCTCCTCTGCACCAATGTCCCTTTTAACCTTCTAATTTATTGACTAGCCTCTTCTTCCCACTTATCATGAGTAAATTAAGAGAATCCATGAAATAAAACCAGTAGTTATGGGCCAAGAATGGTGGTGCACATCTATAATCCCAGCACCTTGGGAGATTGAGGTGGGTGGATTGCTTGAGCTCAGGAGGTTTGAGACCATCCTGAGCAACATTGCGAAACCCCATCTCTACGAAAAATTTACAAAAATTAGCCATGCATGGTGGCACACGTGTTTAGTTCCAGCTACTTAGGAGGCTGAGATGGGAGGATCTCTTGAGCCAAGGAGCCAGAGGTTACAGTGAACCAAGATCGTGCCACTGCATTCCAGCCTGCATGACAGTGAGACTGTCTCAAAAACAAAGAAACATAAAAACCAGTAGCTATGAAACGGCAGTTTCTTTCCTTTACTGTCTCATACTTACTGTGCATTTATTCAGAGAAGGGCATTGACTGAAGATGTGAGCTTAGGAACTATGCTTGCTTTCTCTTTTTTTTTTCTTGAGACGGAGTGCCCAGGCTGGAGTGCAGTGGCGTGATCTCAGGTCACTGCAACCTCTGCCTCCCGGGTTCAAGTGATTCTCCTGCCTCAGCCTGCCAAGTAGCAGGGATTACAGGCACACGCCACCATGCCCGGCTAGTTTTTTGTATTTTTAGTAGAAACGGGGTTTCACCATGTTGGCCAGGCTGGTCTTAAACTTCTGACCTCAGGTGATCCACCCTCCTCAGCCTCCCAAAGTACTGGGATTATAGGCATGAGCTACCACGCCTGGCCACTGAGCTTTCTTTCTTACACTGAAAAAACTCACAATTGCTACCTACTTTCTGTGGAACCAATTTTTATAAGCAGAAAAATATCCAAGGAAAACGACATTTTCAGTAGAATGCTGCATTCTGGCTTTCATTTTGGAGAATTCTATTGCAAACCATAAGACCATGGTCTAAAGTCTTCCTCCAAGGGGTAGCTTGTGTTTATTTGGTCTCCTCTCAGGAGATTGGATTACTTCTGTGAACAGCTTGTTCTGACTGGGCTCTGAACCATGTGTACCAAAGCAACTGTGAAACACTTATATCCTAAGATTCAGAGAGAAACTTTGCCTCTAGGAAAGATACTAGTCTCCTAGTTTTCTCTGGCTGCTGTAACAACACAAACTTAGTGGCTTATCCTGTTTTATCTGCTTTTGGATGCTCCAGAGGAGAATCCATCTTCTTACCTTTTGCAACTCCTAGAGGCTATTCACTTTCCTTGGCTTATGGCCCCTTTGCTTCATCTTCAAAGCTAAGTGTCTAGTTCAGGCCTGATTATATCAAATCACTCTTACCTCGACTTCTGCCTCTCTCTCCCACTTTTAAGGACCTTTATGACTACATTAGGCTCATTTGTACAGTCCAGGATAATCTCCCAATTAAGGGCAGCTTTCTAGTGTGAACCAAAAGTATCTGAGACAGATCTGAGATCTTCCCACCTCAGCCTCCTAAGAAGCTAGGTCTAAAAGCATGTGCCACCATGCATGGCTAATTTTTGTAATTTTTTGGTAGAGGTAGGGTTGCGTGCGCCATGTTGCCCAGGCTCGTCTCAAACTTCCTGAGCTCAAGCAATCCGCCCACCTCAGCCACTTAAGGTGCTGGAATTACAGATGTACACCACCATTCTTGGCCCATAGCTACAGGTTTTAATTCATGGATTCTCTTAATTCACTCATAAGTGGGAAGAAAAATCTAGAAAGTTTATTTAGAAAGTTTATTTTGCTAAGGTTAAGGATGCACCTGTCACAGCCTCAGGAGGTCTTGACAACATATGCCCATGGTGGTGGGGGCATAGCTCCGTTTTATACATTTTCAGGAGACATGAGACATCAATAAATATGTGTAAGATGTACATTGGTTTCATCTGGAAAGGCGAGACAACTCAAAGCAGGGAAGGGGGCTTCCAGGTTATAAATAGGTAAGAGACAAAGGGTTGCATTCTTTTGAGTCTTTGATCAGCCTTTCACTGAGTACACAATTTACATGTGAGAAAGGGCAAGAGAATTAGTCACTCATGCCTTAGTCTGGCTCAGTGAATCTGCATTTCTACATAAGCAGTGGGGCAGAGGAAGCAGTCAGTTCTGTCCTTTGTCCTGTACCTATGAAGATAAGCTGTCAATTTATATTGCCAGGGTGAAATTCAACAGAACTGTTTTAGGGTAAAGATCTTAAGGCCCACAAGTTTTCTCATGGGCAAATTGTGGGAGAGGTAGATAGCTTTTTATCTTTGTAACTGTCTGATTTAGGAATAAAATTTGCCTGAGGAACTTCCGAGCTTGACTTTTCCCTTTGGCTTAGTGATTTTGGGGTCCGAGATTTATTTTCCTTTAACACTAGTAAACTTCATTCTTTTTTCAACCTTTAACTTCCCCTTGCCATGTAACCTAACATATTCACTGGTTGTGTTGACTAGGATGTCAGTATCTTTGTGAAGGTGGGTCACAGTTCACCCTCTGGCCCCCAAAGATTCATATCCATCCACTTGCAAAATACATATACCCTATTGCAACATCCCCCAAAGTCTCCACTCATTACATCCAGGGAATAATTGTGCAAATAAAGAAACTGAAATTTGTTACTCAGGGCTTGATCTAGGAAGGTTGTTCATACCCAGCACATAACTGACTAGAATACAAGAAGCTAATGCTATATAATTCCAAATAGATGGAATTTTTTTTTTTTTGGGAAATGAAGTCTTGCTTGCAGTGGCATGATCTCGGCTCACTGCAACCTCCGCCTCCCAGGTTCAAGCGATTCTCTGTCTCAGCCCCCCAAGTAGCTGGAATTACAGGCACACGCCACTACACCTGACTAATTTTTGTATTTTTAGTCAAGATGGGGTTTCACCATGTTGCCCAGGCTGGCCTCAAACTCCTGACCTCAAGTGATCCACCTGTCTGAGCTTCCCAAAGCACTGGGATTACAGGCATGAGCCACTGTGCCCAGCCTAACTAGATGGAATTTAAAAGCACGTATTTTTGAAAAGTCGTTCAACTGTGTGTGCAGATTCAGTATAAACTCTTAAACTTTAAAGTGTTTAGGATCATGAAGTCAAATTGTCATAACAGTAATACTATATGTTTCTAAAGCAAATCTCAGTTTGCCAAGCATTTCCACATTCATCCACCTGTGCTATTTTTGCCCCTGAAAATAACTTTCTGAGGAAATAGTTCAAATGTGTTCCCTCTTAGCAGCTGGACCAAGGTTCAGGAAGTCGTATCCTTAGTCATGTAGCTACAAGATACTAACACTGACACTTGAACTTTGGACTTCTGCCTTCAACTTCTCTGGTTTGTTTGTTTTTTTTTTTTTTTTGAGACAGAGTCTCGCTTTTGTTGCACAGGCTGGAGTGCAATGGCACGATCTCAGTTCACCCAACCTCCGCCTCCTGGGTTCAAGAGATTCTCCTGCCTTAGCCTCCCAAGTAGCTGGGATCACAGGTGTGCGCCACCATGCCTGGTTAATTTTGTATTTTTAGTAGAGACAGGGTTTCACCATGTTGCCCAGTCTAGTCTCAAACCCCCAGCCTCACGTGATCCACCCACCTTGGCCTCCCAAAGTACTGGGATTACAGGCGGGAGCCACTGCACCGGCCAACTTCTCTAATCTTTTTCATTTATACTCCTTTACTCTCAGTGGACAAACAATTTAAAATTAAATCAGAGTTGTAAAAGGTCAATTTTTTGGTATGTGTTAAGTATCTTATAAAAACAGTGAAATAGTGTAAATACTTTAAATATATTTGAATATTTTGGAAAATTATATATAATGGCAAATTAGAAAATAAATAATTGCTAATAGTAAGAGTGGTTAAAGGTGTGATAGATTCATAAGATAAAATATAGCCATTAAAAATTGTATTTCAATTAGAAAAATTCTCATAGCATAATCAAATTAGGATACAGAATTATGTAAAGTATCATTTCAACTAAGTTTAAAAATAGATGCACTTATAAATGAAATACTGGAATAATGTTAATAGAGTTAATTTCTGGGTGATGGGATTTCTTTAAAAATGCTTTTTTATTTTCTCACAGTTTTCTGTTGAGGGTATGAATACTCTGTAAGCTGGAAAAAAGTTATTAAAAGTATTTTACTGATAATTGTGTGAGAATGAGGCTGATTTCTTCATTCCTAAAGATTTGTGTAATAATAATTGTTAGATTTTTATAGCATTTCATATATTTTTTTAAAAACACATGCATTTTGATCATTTAAACAGGTTTACTAGAAACCAACAAAGGATTCTGGAGCAAAATAAGAACCAGAAGGAAGCCACCAATGTAAGTGATTAGAAATATTATAAAATAAACAATTGAACATTTTACCAATTATAGTAAGAAGCAAGGCTTACCTAAAGCAGCTCTTAAAAACAGGGAGATATGCATTGATAATTTGTAGTGGTGTTAATGGTGTAGAGTACTTGCCTTAATAATTTTATGTCATTAAATGTTATTAACGTTAACATCAATGTTAATATTAAACTATTAAAGTAACGTAAAGTTAATGTTATTAAGTTATTAATAAGTTGTAAGAAAATTACCTCATTAAGCAAGGACCTATGTAGGTGGTAAGATGGGAGTCATACTAATGTTGCCTGTTGAATGGAGAATTCTTCCTCAAAATGTATCCAAATAGGATCTTCCCCTCTACAAAGGAAAGTCAATGGGGAGAAAGCTATGATAAACTACATGACACTTTCTTTTGCTTTGTTTTCAGACTACAAGTGAGCCTTCTGCCCCATCTCAAGATCTCCTTGACCTAAGTCCCAGTCCCCGGATGTCTAGGGCCAGTCTGGGAGAACTCAACACCATGAATGATCAACTTTCAGACTTAAGTAAATAAACACTCAGGCCTTTTCAGATCAGCAGAAGAGCTTGATGTAAAACAGTTCTTAATTACATGAGTAAATGCCACCTAAGAAGGACTGAAGTCAGTTTGAATGTCAGAGCACTATGTCAGGAGATGTGATTACTTCCTGGCAAGTGGTTGAGTCAAACACAGTATAGGAATGGGATGTGTCTAGGGTAGGATCCTGGTCCTTGAAACTCATCCTACTCATTTAGAATCTCATGGAATTCACTTGGCCTGCTTTGTAAAAGTTGTTCAGCCCAATGGCCAATACTTAAAATATACTCTGAACCCTCACACTATTATCATTGGGTTTTTCTGCTATACCTCAGGATCAGGTCAGGGAGACGCAAGTAGAGAAATTCAGGAATTACAAGGTATGAACCATGTGGTGGTGAAATGTAGAAGGAAAAACACAGGCTTAAGGTCAGAAAAGTCCAAGTTGAAATGCCAGTTCTGCCACCTGTCAGCCACCTAACCTTTGAGACTTTTTCACTTTATAATATGGGAACAATGATTGCCTTAAAGGGTCATTTTCAAGGTTAACAAACTAATGTTCATAAAAAAGCTTTGCTACAATGTATTTTACAAACATTTGTTAAAGATAGGAATTACCTATCTTACCTAACTTGTTTTCTTCTGCTGTCCTTATTCCCAACGAGGGTTTGGTAAATTACAAAATAAGGATGATGAAAAATGCTAAAATCCAGTTTTGCCAAACTAAAATTAGTTTTTCTCATATGTCACCTGCTGTTTCCAGAGTAAAAATATTTACTATCACTGAATGTGTGGTTTTCTTAGAACTTTACCCATTTCTAAAATGCTGGCTACTTGCTTATGTTGGCCAGTGGGATGTGCAGAGTCAGTTACATTGGAGAGTTTTCCTGAGTTTTTAATTGGGAATTTTCTGAGGGGGAAGTAATTATTCTCTTTGTGGTTTCTCAGTTAAGCTTATAGGCTGGAGGCCAGGCACAGTGTCTCACACCTGTAAATCCCAGCACTTTGGGAGGCTGAGGTGGGTGGATCACCTGGTCAGGAGTTCCAGACCAGCCCATCTCTACTAAAAATACAAAAATTAGCCGAGCGTGGTGGTGGGTGCCTGTAATCCCAGCTACTCGGGAGGCTGAGGCTAAGAAGAATCACTTAAACCCAGGAGGGTGGAGGTTGTGGTGAGCCAAGATCATGCCACTGCACTCCAGCCTGGGTGGCAAAGTGAGACTCCATCTCAAAAAAATTAATTAATTAAAGATTATGGACTGAAACTTGAGATGAAGGTAGAGCTCAGTATGTAGCATAACTTTTTACTTTTGTGGTGGGCAGAACAAGATGTAAAATCCTTTCCATTCTGGATCAGCTTGGGATTTCAGAAAATCCAATACAATAATATTTGTTACCCTTACAACAACTTCTTGTAGCAGGGAAATTCTTTCTCTCTCTACCTATCATAAATGATGCTTTCTAATTTCTCTTAGAGCTAGGAAATCTCATGATTTTATGGTGACAGAAATATCTAAATTAATCTCTTTTATTTGGTGTGGTATTATTTTTTTGGTTTTGGTTTTTACTGTAGAAAATTGGGCATAATAACTGACTGACAAAATTTTTAAAGCCAAACAAGTCCATTTTGTGTTTTAGATTTCAGCTCTCCAAGTTCTGATGTAACAAACAACTTAAAACCCAGTCTTCATCCACAGATGGACTTGCTAGCCTTGGAAAATACAGAAATAACCTTGTAAGTATGTCAGTAACACTGCAGAACTGATATCATGACACTTGGATTCCTTACATTTAAGAAAACTTGATGGCTGGGCACAGTGGCTCACATCTGTAATCCTAGCACTTTGGGAGGCCGAGACACATGGATCGCTTGAGCCCAGGAGTTTGAGACCAGCCTGGGCAACATGGTGAAACTCAGCTCTACTAAAATATAAAAATTAGTTGGGCATGGTAGCATATGCTTATAATTCCAACTACTCAGTAGGCCGAGGCATGAGAATTGCTTGAACCTGGTAGGTAGAGGTTGCAGTGAGCCGAGGTTGTGCCACTGTACTCCAGCCTGGGTGACGAGAGAGAGAGGAGAGAGAGGAGAGAGGCGGGAGAGAGGAGAGAGAGAGAGACAGAGAGAGACCAACCCTATCTCAAAAAAAAAAAAAAAGAGAGAAAAGAAAACATAAAATAGCAAAAAAATAGAGACTTAAGAATCAGACAATCCTGAGTTAGAATCTCAGCACTACTTCCTGCTAGCCATATAACCTAAATGAGCTATTTAGCCACTGTGAATGTTCATTTTTCTTCTAAGAATATTTTCTAGGATTCTTACAAAGATTCAGAGAGATGCTATATGCAAAACTCCTAATCTAGCACTTGGTACATGATAAGCCTTCAATAAATTGTCTCTGTTTCTGTTATTTTTAGTGGTAACAGGAGATGGGGGAGAACAGGGGAAATATAATGACAAAGGAGGCAGAAGAGCAGTGGGGTTCAAAATTAAGAGTAATGGCTACATCAGTTACAGAGCACTTGCTGTGTGGCAGGCACTTTGTTAAGCTATTTTTGTTTATTTCATCCTTTCATCACTAACGTACTTAGGTCAGTGATGTTCGGTGAGGGTCTTGCTCCGTCACTTAGCACTGGCACAACAGTGGCACCATCATAACTCACTGCAGCCTCAAACGCCTGGGCTCAAGGGATACTCTCACCTCAGCCTCTTAATAGTTGGGACTACAGGTGTGCACCACCATACTGGGCTGGACTAATTTTTTAAACTTTTTGTAGTGATGGGGTCTCACTTTGTTGCCCAAACTGGTCTTGAACTCCAAGCCTCAGGTGATCCTCCTGCCTTGGCCTCCCCAGGTGAGCCACAGCACTGGCCTGTTATCATTATTCCCATTATACAGGAAAAAAGACTGAGATTTCTTGGTCGTTTCTCTGTTGAAGGAAACAAAACTTGCCCAAGTTTGTATAGCCAGTAAGTAGCAAGTCTGATGGACTGACAGTTTACTTAAAAAGAAATATTAATGACCCATAAACATATGCAATGATGTTCAACTTTACTTACAGAGAAATGTAAATTAAAATTTAATAAGAAATTGTTTTCTACTTCTCAGGTTGGCAAAAGTCCAAATATTTCATAATAAACTTTGTTGGCTATGAAAAGACAGTTACTAGCACAAAATTATGCAACTGTTATAGGAGCAAGTGGCAATACTTGTTAAAATTATAAATGCATTTATATTTGAATCTGCACTCTTATCTGTAGAAATGTATACTGCACTTATACAAAGTTAGGTGTTTACAAGATTATTCTTTACAATATTTTGGGCAATAGCAAGTAATTGGAAACAACTCTAGTATCTATCAGTTGGGGACTGGTTAAATAAACATCTGTACAACATATTATTATAAAGCTGGAGGATAAAAGTAATAATCTCCAATATATTTATTGCTAAGTAGAAAAAAAAAGGTGCTAAGTAGTGTGTGTGTAATATATTGCATTTGTGTAAGAAAGTGGGAAATAAGAATATATATTAATATTTGCCTCCATTCTCATAAAGAAACAAGAATGATACAGGAAGGGGAAAATGGAAAAAGAGTGGAAGTGGTTATGTAAGTTCTGGGAGAGGCAGGATAGAATAAACAGCAGTTGAATTTGCCTTATGCCAAAGTCAATAGGTGTTTTCCTTTTAAGTGTATATATTTTAGATAACAGGCAATACATTTTCATTATTCTGATATAAAAACAATGTAAAAAGTTGTATAAGATAATTCTTGTTCTCATTCTCTCTTCATCCTCCCTCTCTCCTTTGCCCTAGTGTCATACTGTACTCCCACCCAGATACTTTGTTAGATTCTGATTTATCCTTCCATAGTGTCTTTAGGCAAATATGAATATGAATTTCTTTCTCCTTTATTCAATAAAATGCGGCATACTATCACTGTGTTCTGAACCTGGCTTTTCTTTTTCATTTAATGTATTTTGGCAGTGTGTTTATATCGGTGGATTTCGATTTTTTTAAAAGTTGCCTAGTGTTTTGTTTGTTTTGTTTAAATACTTGTATATCCAGTAACTGAATTACTTTTCTATATTTAAAAGGGGGAGGGGCAGAGGGAGGAAAATGAGAAAGCAGAATCGAACTCGGAAGAAAAGAGAGCAAAATATAAGGGAAGAAGAGGATAAAGGATTCATGTGTTGGGAAATGATAAAGTGTCAGTGGCTTGCTCATGAACCACTGAGTTAGGTCAGTATCTTTGGTTGGCTACCTCTTGTCTTGGCTGCATACAATACAAGTAAATGTTGACATGTAGGCAGATTTCTAGTGAAGTTGCTTGGTAAGTAGTGTAGTTTAAAGTAGCTGATTCTGTTCCTGTTATCTTGCTAATCTTGTTAGGTAATATGAGAAAGAATAAGTAATACAGATAAAATCCCATTACAACAAATATCTATAAAATTCATTAAAAGTCAAATTTCAGCTAATAGCTCCCTGTTTTAATCTGTAACCTACTGGATCTAATAATTCAGTATGCATAAAAATCACTTGGCTGACTGTCAAAAAGTCAAATTGCTGGTCCCAATTCAGTAGCAAGAATCTTTAACACGAATTCCAGGAGAATCATAATGCAGTGGTTTTCTTATCATACATTGAGAAACCCTGGGATGAACATCTATACCAAGATTTGAGGGCATGTACCTGGTTTAAATCATATGCCTAAGATCACTTGTGAGGCAAAATCAGCCATTAAAATGTCTCATGATGTTGAGATTTTTTCCATCTTTTTGTGTTTGCAGTTTAATTCATTCACCGTCAAAGAAAAAGTGGGTGATGCAATTTTTCATAACAGAAAGAATCCTTAAAAAACAGTAACAAAGAACACAGGATAAAGTTATATGTCTTTTTTCTTTCTTTCTTCTTTTGTTTTTTTAATTTTTTAATTTTAATTTTTATTTTTAGGGCCTGGGCTCATGGGGTGCTCTCACACCCCCAGAGCTGGGTCTTTCTTTCTTTTTTTGAGACAGAGTCTTGCTTTGTTGCCCAGGCTGGAGTGCAGTAGTTCAAGTTTGGCTCATTGCAACCTCCCAGGTTCAAGCAATTCTCTTGCTTCAGCCTCCCAAGTAGCTGGATTACAGGTGCCTGCCACCACACCTGGCTAATTTTATTTTGTATTTTTAGTAGAGACCTGGTTTCGCCATGTTGACCAGGCTGGTCTTGAACTCCTCACCTAAGGTGATCTGCCTACCTTGGCTTCCCAAAGTGCTGGGATTACAGCATGAGCCACTGTGCCCGGCCCATCGGCCATATTTATGGCCCACTTACTAACAGGCAAAAAGCTGAGAAGTACAGAAATGCTTACTAATTATTTAATAAACCTGTGAGGTACATACCACCCTCATTTTCATTTTAAACATGAGGAAACCAAAGCTGAGGAAGATTAACTTGCCAGTGGTTGCCTAGCTAGTGCTGAGACAGAATTCAAATTTAAGTGGGATTCAAAATCAAATTCTGATTTCAGTAAATTCTCTTTTTGTTTTTATGTTTGTACTTTAATTTCATTTCTAAAATTTTCATACACTAAAATTTACCTTTTTTTGTTTTTTTGGTTTGGCATACAGTTCTATTTAACATACGTATAGATTCAAGTAACTACCACCACAGTCAGGATACAGAATAGTTTCATCACTAAAAAAAATTCTCGCGTTATTCCTTTATAGTCACACCCTCGCACCCTGACCCTCAATCCCCAGCAACCACGAATTTATTCTCTATTGCTATAGTTTGAGAATGTCATCTAAGTAGAATTACACAATATGTAATCTTTATAGAAGAGAGTGTATTAAGTTGGTATTTGCTTTATGCGTTTTGAAGTTCATGCATTCAGCTATGTGGAATCTTGTTTGATTGAGTCTTTTATCATGTAATGGCCCTCTTTGTCCCTCATAATTTTCTTTGTCCTGATGTTGATTTTGATAGTAATATAACTACTCTAGCTTTCTTTGGATTAGTGGTTGCATGGTCGGTTTTCTTCTGCATTTTACTTGTAACTTAACTGTATTAAAAGATTTGAAGTTTTTAGAGATAGCCTATAGTTGGTTCATACATTTTTAACGTATTTGCATAATTTCTTTTAATTGATATGTTTAGACAATTTACATTTAATGTAATTGTACGTAGGTTTTAGGACTATCATTATATAGTTTTTCTATGTGTCCCCTTTTTTTTCTGTTTCTTTTTTCCTGCCTTCTTTTGGATTATTAGAATATTTTTAGTACTCCATTTTAATTTATTGTGATTCTGACAGTATCTTTGTATAACAGTATATGTGTGTGTGTGTGTATGAAGTAGACTTGCTTAGTAAATAATATGGTTTAAAGTAGCTGATTCTGTTCCTGTGATCTTGCTAATTTTGTTAGCAAGATATATATACATATATACGTGTACATATACACACCCATATATATAAAGAGTTTGCTTTAGTGATTGCAATATACTTACTTTTCAGTTTACTTAATATCAATGCTTTACTACTTGAAAGTAAAAACCTCATTACCATATAGATTCCTCCTTTATATTATAGTTATCTTATATATTACATTTATATACATTGAAAAGAAATCACTAACAGATGGTATAATTTCTGCTTGCAACTCTCAAATATACTGGAAAGAATTCAAGAAGAGGCCAGGAGTGGTGGCTCATGGTGTAATCCCAACACTTTGGGAGGCAGAGGTGGGCGGATCACTTGAGGCCAGGAGTTGGTGACCAGCCTGGCCAACATGATGAAACTCCATCTCTACCAAAAAATTAGCTGGGATTCATGGTGTGCATATGTAATCCCAGCTGCTTGGGAAGCTGAGGCACAAGAATTGACTGAACCCAGGAGGTGGAGGTTGCAGTGAGCTGAGATTGTGCCACTGCACTCCAGTCTGGGCTACAGAGCAAGACTCTGACTCAAAAAAAAGTTAAAAATTCAAGAAGAGAAAAATAGTCTATTATATTTACCCAATGTTTACCATTTCTCTTATTATTCTATTCTGGTATAATTTCCCTTCTCTCTGAAGGATTTTCTTTATCAGTTCTTTTAAAGCAGGTCTATTGGCAGTGAAGTCTCTTAGTTTTGCTTCATGTGAGAATGCTTCTATTTTGCCTGTTCCTGAAGGATATTTTCAGTGGATACAGACTATGGGGCTCACAGTTCTATTCTTTCATCAGTTTTAAAAGGCTGTGCCACTCTTTTCTGGCCTAAATGGTTTCTAGTGAAAAATCTACATTCATTTGAGTTGTTGTTCTTCTATAGATCATGTATTGTGGTTCTCTGTCTGCTGTAAATAATTTTTCTTTTTAACTAATTTTGAGCAATTCGATTATAGTATGTTCGGTATGGATTTCTTTTTTTTTTTTTTTTTTTGGGGTTGGCTGAGTGTATTAGTTTCCTGTGGCTACAATAACAGATGACTGCAAACTGGGTGGTTTAAAACCACAGAAATTTATTCTCTCACAGTTCTGGAGGCAAGTAGTCTGAAATTCAGCGGAGTCATACTCCCTCCACAACTGTTAAGGGAAAATCTGTTCTCTGCCTCTTCTAGATTCCAAAGACTTGTGGGTACTCCTTGGATTTCTTAGCCTTTGGTTATGTCACTCCAATTCCTGCCTGTATCTTCACCTCACTTTTTCCTCTGTGTGTCCCAAATCTCACTCTGCCTTTCTCTTTTAAGGTCATTTATCATTGGATTTATGGCCCACCCAGATAATACAGGATGACATCTTCATATGAAGATCCTTAATTACATTTGCAAAGACCCTTTTTCCAAATAAGATAACATTCGTAACACTCACAGGTTCTGGGAATTGGGACATGAGCATGCATTTTAGGGGCCACCATTTAACCCACTAATGGAACTTCTTGAATGTGGTTTGTGCACCAAACTTGTGATGTTTTTAGTCTTTTCTTCAGGACTATACTCTTTCTGCTTTCTAGAACCCTGAAGACACAAACTTTAGACCTGTGCCACTGTCTCATAGATGTTTGAGGTCCTGTTTCCTTTTTTTTTTTTTTTTTT